ACTGGTTTGGGGAGATTCTGGGTTTGTATTATTTTTTGATTTAATGTTAGAAGGTGTTAGGGTTTGCAGAAGGCGAAAGGGAAGGAAGAAGAAAGGAAGAAAAAAAGAAAAAAAGGAAAAGAAATATTTTAAGGTTTTTTTTTGCCATGTCATTGTTTTTTTTGCCATATCATTCTTTTTTTGCCATGTTGTCATCTTTTTTCGTTAGGTAATGGGACACGTCAGTCAATTTTTAACGGAAGGACTAAATCGGGGTCAAAATGGTAAACAGTAGGGATCAAATCAGGGATTTTTTTAGTTCATGGACCAAATGAGGGGTCCGTACAATAGTTCAGGGACCAAAAAGGGGTTTTAACCTTTTTCTTAAAAATACTATTTTGCAAGTTGTCTTCTTAAATTTTGTCAAAGGGTTTGTTTAAAAACTCATTTTCTAATTAATATTTTCAAAAGTTGATTATTACATTGAAAATTCTATTTATGTATGTCAATTTCAAATTATTCTAATAGGCTCAATCATTTCGTTGATTGTAAAAAATTTAATACTATTAAAGGATTATAAGTATTAGATTAATAAGTGGGGAATAGCACACTGGGGTATATGAAATAAAAAAAGAAGTTGCCAAGTACTTCGAAGAACTGTTTACATAAGAGAAATGGAAAAGGCCAAAGCTTGATGGGATCAAGTTCAAACAGATTTTCAGGGCAGATAATGAACTCCTCACAGCCACATTTTCTAAAAAGGAAATCAAAGAGGCAATCTGGGAGTGCGGATCTTCAAAAGCTCCAAGTCCAGACGGGTTCAAATTCATATTCATTAAGGAGATGTGGGAAGACATCAAATTAGAGATCATTGATTTTGTACAAGAATTCTATAGGACTAGAAGAATTGCCAGAGGATCAAATGCATCCTTCATTGTCATGATTCCAAAAGTCGAGAACCCTCAAAGAATAGAAGAATCCAGACCCATCTTGCTTATTGGAGTCATGTACAAAATTATTGCAAAATTGCTAGCAAATCACCTACGGAAAGTGCTTCCAAAGGTCATTGGGGAACAGCAAATGGCATTTATCAAGGGCAAATAGTTAGTAGACGAAGTTGTGATAGCGAATGAAGTCATTGAAGAGGTCAAGAGAAAGAAGAAGAAAAGCTTTCTATTCAAAGTTGATTTTGAGAAAACTTATGACAAGGTCTGTTGGGAATTCATTGAGTATATGATGATGAGGATGGGATTTAATGCAACCTGGAGAAAATGGATACGGGAATGTCTAGCATCAAGCTCGGTTTCGGTTCTCATTAATGGAAGCCCAACAAATCAATTCATGGTCAGCAAAGGTATAAGACAAGGCAATCCGCTATCCCCCTTCCTATTCTTAATTGTGGCAGAAGGGCTAAACGGGCTAATGTCCTCAATAGTGGAGAAACAACTATATAAAGGCGTGGTGATTGGTAACAAAGGAGTCACGGTTTCACACCTACAATTTGCGGATGATACTATCTTCTTTGGAGAGGCATCGAAGGACAATATTGGGGTTATTAAAAGCATAATGAGAACATCTGAGCTGAGTTCTGGTCTTAAAATCAATTTTGGGAAGAGCCAACCAATAGGGATAGGGGTAGAAGACAACTGGAGAAATAAGATGGCATATAAGTTGTGCTGCAAGGAAAGGGAGATCCCATTTAAATATTTGGGGATCCTAATAAGCAGAAATCACAGAAGAGTAGCAATGTGGCAGCCAATGGTTGAATCTTTTTTAAAAAAGCTAGCTACCTGGAAGGGTCGGCACCTTTCCTTGGGAGGTCGCATCACGCTCATTAATTCAGTATTGTCCAACTTACCTGTATTCCTCATGTCAGTCTACTTAATCCCAAAAGGTATACTATACTCTATTGATAAGATTTGTAGAAGCTTTTTATGGGGTGGTGGCAGGGAAAAGAGAAAAATAAATTGGGTCAACTGGGTTAAGGTGTGTAAAAAGAGAGAGGAAGGCGGGCTGGGAGTGAGAGATTTGAGGAAGTTTAAATTGGCATTGATGGGAAAATGGTGGGGATGTCTTGTAGAAAATGAGGAGGGATTGTGGAAGAGAGTAGTTGTAGGCAAATATGGAGAGGGAGGGGGTCATTGGTTGGACTGGATTAAAGAATATAGAGGAGTAGGTTCTATATGGTGGAGAGATGTATGTTGCCTGGATAAAATGGATAGAGAGAGAGCAAGATGGCTGATGGAGGGGTTTAGAACAAAGCTAGGGGATGGCAAGAGCGTTAGCTTTTGGTGGGATAATTGGTGCGGGGTGGGCTATCTTGCTAACAAGTTCCCTAGATAGTATTTATTATCAACAGGAAAGGAGAACACGTGCTACCAAATGAAAAATGATAGGAATGAACCAGGGAGATGGAACCTCAAATGGAGAAGGAAACTATTCGAATGGGAACCTGAAGAGGCTAGGGGACTCCAAGAAGTGATAGAAGACAAGATGATCACGCATGGAAGGCCTGATTCGTTGGAATGGGTTCACGACAAAGATGGACAATACTCGACAAAAATAGCCTACTCAATTCTAACAAAAGAACAGATAGGAACAACTGATAGTTCGACGTTCAAAAGAATATGGAATCCCAGCTTTCCAAGCAAAGTTTCAGCTTTCAATTGGCAGCTATTGCTAAACAAAATTCCAACCAAATCGAATTTGATTACTAGAGGGATTCTCAGAGACTCGGGTGATGGTAAATGCGTTCTTTGTAATGAGGAAGATGAAGACTCTACACATCTGTTCTTAAAATGCAAAACAACCAGATGGGTGTGGCAGGAGTGTGCTAAATGGTGAGGGATCGAGATTTTACTGTAGAGGGATTGCTGGAAATCTTTTCAGCTTTTTGGGAAATGGAGTAAAGATCCATGATTAAGAGAAGGTTGGGATAGCATTTGGAGTAATGTAATTTGGTTAGTGTGGCTTGCCCAGAATCAAATGATTTTCCAAGACAAAAAAATAGACCTGGGATAGTTGCTGGAAACTATCCAATTGAGATCCTATCAATGGGTTACTGCAAGATGGGACAAGTGTGCCTTCAGCCTTTCAGATTGGCTTGTTAACTCGGCAGAATGCCTTAAAGGTCACAATGCTAGACGTAGGAAAAAAAATAGAGACTGAAAGGGATATATTTTGCTGTATGATTTTGACCTAGTGTAAAAGGGTTAGAGTACCCCTTGTACTCACTTTAATATAATATATGATTGCTGTTAAAAAAAAAGTATTATATTAATATAAAAATTAACATACATAATTTATATTAATAGAATTTTTAATCTAATGATTTAAAAATATTAATTAAGATGTAAATTTTTAAACAAACCCTCTAAAAAAATTTTGAGAGGATGAACCTTACACTATCCTCTTTTTTCTAACAATATAATTTTCTTAAGGGTGTTTGGTAAGGAGAAACTCTTCCCCTAAATTTCTTTAAAATATTTTTTTTATAAACTTATTTATGTATGTTTAAACATTAATACTACAATAAAATGAGAATAAAAATGACAATTTTTGTTTTTGTTTTTCTTAACACAATTCTTAACCTATAAACTTTTCCTCTTAGCTTTTCCAACATAGGACTCTTTTAACAAATTTTCTACTAACTTTTCTTATACTAATTTTTTATCAAATAAAAATGTTAAAGGAAAAGTGCATATCAATCCCAATTCCCGAAATAAATTAAAGTTTCAATATTAAATTATGTTATTTTATTTCATTAAAATTTAATTTAAAATTTAAAAATATATCTTATTAAATGTTGATATTTAGATTAAGAAACTAATTATATTAGAATATATAATTAGTTTCCAAATTTATATGTCAATTTTTAATAAGGTCAATTTTTGAAATTTAAATTGAAATTTTTGTTTCTAAATATAAGTTAAAATTTTAATTTTTTTTTAATTGAGACTAATACGCATTAATTTCAAAAGTTCATAACTTAACAAAATTTTAATAAAATTTCACTATAAGATTTATCAACTTTTTGTATATTATTTTTCTAACTATTTTCATAGTGAAAACAAGTTTTTGCTAGTAAATCGGACTTCTGACCAAATAGACTCTCATTGAAATCCCTTCCCAATGCCATCCCGTGTGGTTATGACCATTAATGAAAATATTAAAGCTACCAAAACAATGTTAAAAAAATTGGAGTATTATAGCTGATTATCACACAAAATAACCAGTTAACTCCTCTACCGATTTTTGTGCACATATTTAAAGCTAGATCAACTATTTTCATGTTGGCCTCCTGGGAATGTTTTTTCGGAAAATGTTTGCTTCCAACCGGACTCCCAAGAAACAATGACTTCAATCATTTCTACCCAGTCTCCACATTGGTGGTCCTCCCAAAGAAAAGAATCTCGGCGTACGTATACATAACGTTGCTACAGAAAGCCGGAATGCGCTCACGAGCATGACGCCATCCAATAATGGGACGTAAATAACTACTTCTGATATAAAATAATTGTTATTTTTAAATTACAAAATTTAAATAAATTTAAATATATATTTATATTATTATTAAAAAAATGAAAAGATAAAAATATTTTTTATTATAAGATAATTAACTAAAATATATAGCTAATAATAGAGTTAAATAAAGAAAAAATATTTATTTATTTAAAAAATAATAATTAATTTGA